GGGGGGGGGGGGGGGGGGGGGGGGGGGGGGGGGGGGGGGGGGGGGCAGACAGAGGGGAGTTGTGTTTTTTTGTAGCACGCGGTAGAGGACATGAATCTCCGAGATCTTCGGGGCGTGGCGTGGATCGGATACTACGAGTTTGGAGAACTTGAGTCGCTGCATACCCTACCCTTCTGTGCAGAAATGCTCTCGAAAACGAGCAGGCGTGGTAACCAAGGTACACGTACCGACCACGTACCGACAGCACAAACAGCCTCCCCTTCCCTCGCTCTCCCTCCACCTTCTTGATGCGAAGGGATGGTTTCGCGTGCCATTGGGTAGCATGAGGTATGCTACAACGTCCATCCTTGAGCCGATTATCAGAAAGCTCGATTGCTCAGCAGCTAAAAAATATTGACAAGGCAGCGAAAATTGGTCGCCATTGTCTCTCTCTTTACCTATCTCCATTTCTGTCTGCCTCTCCACCTATCTTTCTCCAGTACACGGAAACAGAGACAATGCGCGCGACTCCCCGATCTCGTTTTTCCCCTTCAGAGCTCGCAGGCGCCATCGTATCTCATTTGGGACATTCCAGCAAGACGCAACTGATTATTGTTTATTGTCTTGTGTGTGTTTTTGCTCTTGTTAATTTGGGTGTTCTTGTTTGTCTTTTTTTTGGGGGGGGGGGTTCTGTGGATGACAGGATATCACTGGGGGGCCACGTGGTCTTCGAGGACAACGCTTTCGCCATCAGCCCGGAGATGGAGACGGAGCTGTTCGACCTGTTCAAGGCAAGCGAAGAGGCAAAAAGGAACCAACCGTGCCTGAAGCAGTTCGATAACAATTAGCAGCAGCAACAGCAGTACACAAACCGCTATCAAGTGTTCCGTGTGGTCGGAAGACTGCTGTTGCGATACCCTTGTACTATGGCCGCCGTTGAGTGCGTGCGTTGGTATGCAAGTAGGTGAGGCCCTGTACGAAAGAAGAACCAAGAATCAAGTTTGAGATGGACCCAACATCAAATTCAAAGATGCCTTTCCATGGAAAACTGAGAAAATAGACCCGTCCATATTTTTGCAGATCGACCACGGGTCGGGCATGGAATCAAAAGCAGACCTAGCGCCAGTGGAAGAGCTAGCAGCAACCGGTGTCTTTCGTAGATTTCTTTTGCGCTCTTCTGTTCCGTGTTAACAGACATCTCGCCGAATAAGGAAAGGGTTGTCTCAAGAATGGTATCCGGAAGGAGCTGACGCCTTGGGCTGTTGAACGATCCCAAGGTTTGGCGCCGTGAGATGCCGAATGCGCCCTACAAGAAGTGTTTGTGCTGACCCGAAAAAGTCAACGGCCGAGCGGTCAGTTCAAGTTCGGCGTTTAACGCGGCCGCGGGTTTCGTAAATACCTTTTCGAAGGAGGGAGCAACAGTAGTAGTAGTAGTGCCACTCGGCGGGAGGCTTTTCTCTGCTCCGTCTTTCCTGCCCAAGGTGTGGTATCGTGGGGGTATCATGCGTATCGGGAAAAACGAAAATGGTTGACCCTAAAATTTTCACTTCAGACAGCGGTTGCTTCAAGTTCGCGGCGGCTGTCTGGTCACGGTTTTGTTTTCCACCGATACCTTTGGAAAGGAGGGAGCGACAGCAGAAGCAATGCTACTCCGAGGGAGGTAGCTATGCCCAGTGTCTTGGGAGGTATCGTGAGTGTGGAGATGAAAGGTTATAACTGCCCTCCCCCGCGCGGAAAAGCCGGAAAAGGCCGCGTCAGCCTTGTTTTGGTAATCAGTCTCGTCGCCCCTTCTTGTGGCGATTGGCATTTTCGCATCCAGAACCCAACGCGCTGGCCTGGTTACAGGCTTGCCGGTGACGATAGCCCCTCTATGAGCAGTGTACGGCATATTGTGTCGTGCACTGCTTTGCAGCGGCCTCGCGGCAGATGCTAGATGCTTCAAGTGTTCGAAGCCTTGGAAGTCCTCGCCTCTAATGATTTTGATTCTGACGTACAGTATAAAGTACGGTACCTCGGAGACTTCTTTCGCCTGGAAGGAATTTGCTGAAAACGCAAATGAATATTTGCTGAAAATCAAAAGGAATTTGCTGCATATCAAAGGGCATCGCCAGGAAGTAGCAGTTCGCCGACCAAATCAGAGCCGGGTTTTGCTTTTGGCGATTTCAAGTTTGATTTTTGGTTCTTCCACAAAATCGGGTCTGAACCAAATATTGCGATCACAGACCAAACACCAGCAGTAGAATCTTACCGCGAGAATTATGGTGTACTGCCTTAATTCCAAGACCCCCCCGTCCTCTCGCAAACGAGTGGTCAATAGTCTCACAACTAAGGCGTGCCCTCCCCCCCCCCCCCCCCCCCCCCCCCCCCCCNCCCCCCCCCCCCCCCCCCCCCGCTTTTCCCGCCGAGCAGCGTGCGGAGATGACGACGTCAGAGGGGGAGCACCTCCTGTACCCGCCTCACTTCCGAACCGTGCCGATCGAGATAGACCTCGGGGCTGGGGGAGGGTCCTCGACAGTGTTGGGCAGCGACCTCACGGCGGAGTACGTGCACATCAACGGCGACTACCGATCCTGACGCGCTCGCCCCCGGGCCTCGCATGCCGGGACGGACGAGCGATATGCGTGGTTTTCACCGGCCCAGGCTATACGTTTCACGAGGATGGACCCACAGCTGGTAACTATCATGGCGTTTGCTGTGACAACAAACCAGATGCATCGCCCGGGGGGGGGGGGGGGGGGGNGGGGGGGGGGGGGGGGGGGGGGGGGGGGGGGGGGGGGGGGGGCGAGTTCTAGTCCCTACCCCCTTGCTGTTAAGTCGAGAAAAAAACTCTCGTCTGTTTTGAAAATAGCCTGTCCATCGGCATACTCGTAGCAGGCAGGTATGGAATGGGGGAGGTCGTTTTTTGTCCGCCTCACTCACTCTCTCGCGCGCAATTTTGGTGAGACGATGTTACTAAGAAAAGCCTGATTCGGGAGGGAGACAGAGAGAGTGTTGTAGGAACCTGAAGCTAGTCCGTCGTTTGTTTTGCCCAGAGGTTGTTGTACCTCTATTGGGCCATGTGCCTCTATTGGGTCATGCACCTCAATTAGGTCATTTCACTCTATTCGGTCATGTGCCTCTTTTGGGTCATGTACCTAGAATGGGCCATCTGCGCGATTGGGAGGTGTGCCCTCGCCATCAATCGCAATTTCATCCGCGCGGCCGAATTGTGATTCACCCGCGATTGTGATGAGGTCGTCGTGGGAGACACGGAGTAGATTTATGTTTTTTTGTCGTTTTCTTTTTTCTCTTAAGAACCGTCGTTTTTGTCTATATCTAGGTCTTTTGTGGTCGGTGTTAGATAGATGTGGTGTGGCGTAGCGGTTGCTGTTCGTTTAGTTCGGCTTTTTTTGTGATATATAGTCTAGTCTATGTGAATGCCACCCCAGACTGTCGTAGATTGTGACGTCAGATGACCTGTCGGAGATCTACCTTATAGGGGTGTTAGCACAGATAGAGTCAGTGCAGGTTGGATGCTGAACCTTGCTTCAACACAAGGTTGATCCCCACCTGCCACACACACACTCAACTCAACGTTCCGTACATCAGTCTCCCCACCAGAGGTTGATCCGGTGTGTACCCACACCTCCCATCCCTAAGGGAACTTGCTCACACGCGAACCTGGAGACAACAGTCTCATATCTAGACTATATATTTTGTTTTCACTTCAAATCAGCGCTCACAGCAATAGTAGTGCCGATTACTCCAACCCGTGGTCACACAGAAGAGCGTCTCTCTATCCTCCCCTCCTGCGGTACTTTGCGAATAGAGTTCAGCACTCTCTTGCCTCTGTGTACACACGAACTACTACTAGTGCTATCCACTAGGCCAGGACCGGAAGCGAGCGAAAATCTCACTTTGCACGAAACGCTCGCTCACCCCGGGATTCGAACCCCCAACCCGACGTCTAGAAGGTTTCGAGGATATCAAGTATAGACCACCAGGGTGGTTGCATATATATGTAGGTCGTGGGTGGATGTCACGTCATGTAACACCTGGTCAGTGAGGGCACGACCGAATCGCACACCCCTGGAAGGAATGCGACGGGCTGGGGGGGATGTCGGCGAGTACCAGCAGTGGTTGGTGCGAATTTCGCCTCGGGAGAAAAGGCCGTGCCCCACACCCGATCGGACCACAGCGAGGACGCGCGGTGTTGCTTTGCAACCTCTCGGAGGCGTCGAAGCTTCTTACGGTCAAACGGATGCTATTCATTGGGTGGTGAATGGAACAATAAGGCGAAGCATGCAACAAAGGACAGCAGCTATGTTGCTTTATTTATTTGTGTCTCCCCCACCCGCTCCACCTCTCGCTCTCAGGGACGATTTCGGTCTCTGGGCCCCTGTGTAGTGCCGGTTGAATAGTGCCGGTTGCCAGTATAGTGCCGGTCGATTCTCGGCGCACAGAACCCGCCCTGAATAGTGCCAGACCAGCACTATTCAGGACTGCCCACTATAGTGCCGGTTCGGGCCCCACTGAACCCCACAGCAGTAGTGCCGGTTCAAGGCACACACACACAAAGAACACAACACGCATAGGTGGCACCATCTGGCTTCGGCTGGGCTTGAAATAACCCTTTCGCTGTCCTCCGCTCTTTGCATCAGTGGCTTCCTAGGTTCGGGCGAGGGCATGTGTGGAGCTATGGCAGTGTATGTGTTGCTATTTTGTTTGAGTCATCTAGCTGCTGACACGATGACTGTTGGATCTTGGGACTGACCGATTATC